TTAGTACATTGTGGCCACAATTTACCTAAAACATGGCCATGAATTAAGAAGTTGTGTGAACAAATTTGTGATTTGTGACCACGGTATGGCTCCATACTTTCCTGAACCATTTTTTGAAAATGTAAAACAATTGGTCAGGTACACACACAAACACACACACACACACACACACACACACACACAGACAGAGGTGTCCTATCAAAGTAATCACAAGTGTAGTTCATCAGATCAAAGAGATAGTTCACCCCCAAAGAATTGTCGTAATTTTCTCACCTTTATGTTGTTGCAGTCCAATCCCACGGGATTTTGGTTAATCATTGAGAAACAATTTTTTAATGAAACCTGAGAAGTTTCTGTCCATCCATTGAAAGTCCAGAAGATCTAAAAAAAAAATATAAAGGGATTGCAAAATGGATTAAACTGCTCAACTCAATATTAAAGTTTCATCTGCACTTCCATGTTCACCAAATGTGATGTGTTTTATGTATGTAAATTCATGGCCATTGTTTAGATGTAAATAAATTATAAAATAATAAATTAAACCTGTTCATCATATAAAGCAAACATATCTCTTCACAGCACTTGGATTAAATCACTTAATTAAGCTTGGACTTGTTTTACAGCACCTTTGTGACCTTTTTGAAACTTTTTTTCTTGTAAGTCAATGATGGAACCTCTAAGGTTTCATTAAAGGTATCTTGTGTTTCTAAGATTAACCAAAGTTTTATGGATTTGGAACAACATGAGGGTAAATAATGACGACTTAAAATCGGAGCTATGATTATTTTCTGCTAGCATTTGACAGCAAGAAATTGTCACAATCCTTCTTGTCTTCATTTTTAACATTGATTAATTTCAATTGTCCAACTGCTTTTTTGGGCTGATTTATATCACAATGCAATGAAGAACAACAAACAAAATCTGTACTAGTTTTGACTAGTTAAATGATTTTTATCGGTTTTTATCTTTATTGTATCTTTACACAGAGCTCCATATAAAAACAAGGCATGCCAGTCGTCACCCGAGGACTGGTTCAAGAGAAGGCAGAGATCAGTAGACAATCAGCATGACGTGGCACCAAGGACGCACGTCAACAACAGCAGCTCTCCCAACAACAAAACCCACCGTGGTCTAAACGATGGTTCAGACAAGCAAACTGGAAAGGTCTGATTCTATTATGGCCATTAGGATGATTTGATTCTATATAATGTTTCACATTTGAAAGCCTAATAAAGTTTTTCAATCTTTCAGATACTGAAGGACAACAGAGCTGATCCTTCCTCTCAGGACAAAAGAATCAGCAGGAGATCAACAGACAGAGGTGCCTGTTCCCTTTAAGAAGCTTTTAATAATAATTTCCTGATTAAATCGTAAGTGGATGATTTGTTTCTGCTTTCAGGTTACAGAGGGACCAAACCTTCCCCAAACCCCGCAGAGAGAGCCAAATCAGCCATTATATGTAGTAGCACATTTGAAATTAAACTTGCTGATTTCCCTGAATTAGGTGATATCACACCCAGCAACCCTACAGCAGCTTCCCTGCACCAGGAACCATGGGTATGCGCTGGTGCAGTCATGCCAGCAGAGCGTCAGAGGTCACCAGCACCCATCTGTAAGGTAACCTTCATGCATGGTGATTTGGGCCAAAGAACACATTGTTCTGTTAAAGCACAAGCTGTTTACTAACATGTGCTGGCTTTATGGCCTCAATTAAACTTTTTTTTATTCTTATTAGAATGTACCAAAACGAAGAACCAGGTCGGCACAGCAAGTCCCGTCCAGTGGAAAGTGTGACATGTCATCAGCTGTCACAGCAGGTGAAGATCTGCAAACATTCTTCAGAAATCAATACATTTTCTTAACACACATCTTTCTTTGTCTTATGGTACGTTCAAGTCGTATTTATGAGTTGGGAACTTGTAATTATGATGTCAGGTGCTTTATTCAGAGCAAGATGTTAAGTTAATGTAACCAAGTTCAGCACAGTTATTTAACTTCTACAAAATGATGAATAAAGAATGCACATCAGTTGTGTTTTGCTTTATGTTTTTATTCAGTTTATAAAGGTGCTGTAAACTGGATAGTTATATACAGTGCATCCAGACAGTATTCACAGCGCTTGACTTTTTCCACATTTTGTTGTTACAGCCTTATTCCAAAATGGATTAAATTCATTATTTTCCTCAAAATTCTACAAACAATGCCCCATAATGACAACATGAAAGAAGTCATTTTTGATAAATTTGTAAAGATTTCAAACAAACTTCTTTCACGTTGTCATTATGGGGTATTGTTTGTAGAATTCTGAGGAAAATAATGAATTTAATTAATTCATTTTGGAATAAGGCTGTAACAACAAAATGTGGAAAACCCAGTGGATGCACTGTATTCTGTTGTAATTGCTAATGACTAAGAACGCACCGTTATTTTGCACAATTTGTAGTTGTTTTAAGGAAAACGTATGTTGTTTTTTCTTATTGAATATTCAGTTTCACTGGGAAATGCATCAAATTACAGAAGTGGGTTGTAAATTTTTTTAAATTAGATTTTCAAGTTAAAAATCAATACTAAAAGAAATAAATGTATAAAATTGTTTAAACCCCAATTTGATTTAGATCAGGACAGTGCAGCATCCAATCCCACTGGATCTTCTGCTCAGTCCTGGGCAAACATTGCTTCTCAGCCTCCCAGAGTCATCCAGAAAAGCCTCAAAGCCAACACATTGTCTCAGGTAAACTGCTGCATTGTTGATCAGCATTTTCAACATGTACTATACAAAATAGACACAATTTGCACCTTATTACTGTGTCTAGGAGGA